ATTTGAATTCCAAGAGCTCAAACCTTCTATCTGACACCTTTGGCGGCCTTTCAGACACTGCCAAGTCTTGGTGTCCTATGAGCCATTCTCTTTTTGAAGCTGGAAGAAGGAGACACCTATGACAACATCACATACTTTTAGAGCTGGAGTCTCACTCTGTGGCCCAGGTTGAAGTGCAGGGGCATGCTCGCAGCCACCGCAGCCTCGACCTGCTGGGCTCAGGCGATTCTTCTGCCTCAACCTTCCAAGTAGCTGGAACTACAGGCATGCTCCAACATTCCCGGCTACTTTTTTGACTTACAGTAGAGGCGAGATCTCACCAAGTTGCCCAGGTTGGTCTCAGACCCATGGGCTCAGGCGATCCTCTCGCCTCCGCCTCCCAAGGTGCTGGGATTACAGGCATGAGCAACCATGCCCAGCGGGCCCGCCTTTAAAGTCTATCCAGAATCCCACCACACCTCAGAGCCTCCGTTTTCCGCCATGGTCCCCTAGGCTGCTCCCCACATGGCCACCAGAGGCCGCTGTGAACCCTAAACCAGCTCAATCCCTCCTCAGTTCAGAACCTTCCGGCGCTAAGCCTGGACTGCGCAGAGCCTCATTGTTCTCATCACCCCATAGGGCCCCAGGTGGTCTGTCTCCTGACACCTCTGCCCACGTTGTCTCTTACTCTCCCTTTCGCTGCCCCAGAATCCTCAGAGGCCTCCTTATTTATCCTCAAACCCCGCGCCAGGCTTCCAGAGTGTCTGCATTTGCAGGGCCTGATGGACAGAAGTGGGCTTGTATACGCCGTTCCCTCCGTCTGAATGCTCTTCCTGCTGGTACCCACCGAGCAAACCCTCACCTCCTTCAGCCCTCGGCTCAGATGTCACCTTAGTGACACCTCCCTGGGCTACCTTGCTTCAGTTGTGATAACTCTTCCCATCCTCTCCTCTGCTGTGTCTCTACGGCTCTTATCACCCTAGGACACACCAACTACACATTTCACAGCCTCACCGTGTTTCCCTCACTAGAATGGATGCTCCAACAGGGGGGACATGTGGTCTGTTTTATTTATTTATTTTTTATGTTTTGGGTTGGAGTCTCACTCTGTCGCCCAGGCTGGAGTGCAGTGGCATGCTCACGGCCACCGCAGCCTCGACCTGCTGGGCTCAGGTGATCCTTCTGCCTCAACCTTCCAAGTAGCTGGAACTACAGGCACGTGCCACCACACTCGGCTAGTTTTTTGGTTTATTATACGAGGTCTCACCAAGTTGCCCAGGCGGGTCTTGAACCCCTGGGCCCAGGCAATCCTCTCATCTCAGCCTCCCAAAGTGCTGGGATTATAGGCATGAGCCACCGTGCCTGGCTGGTCTGTTTAATTCAGTGAGGCATACTGGTTACTAGCACCAGGCATATGGTGAGCAGCCAAGGGTCAAAGAAAGAGGAGATAGGAGTGTGGTGCTCTGGGACTCACAGGGCTGGACGCTTGAGAGCCTGGATGGTGGTGCTCTGAGCCAGGACAGTAAAGGTGTCATCTGTCATCAGCAATCGAAATAATGAAATGGGCTGGGCGTGATGGCTCATGCCTGTGGTCCCTGCACATTAGGAGGCCAAGGCAAGAGGACTGTCTGAGCCCAGGAGTCCAAGGCCAACCTGGACAACATGGTGAGACCTTGTTTCTACAACAGATAAAACAAAAAACAAAAAACGAGCTGGGTGTGGTAGCACGTGCCTGTAGTCCCAGCTACTTGGGAGGCTGAGGCGGAAGGATCGCCGGAGCCCAGCAGGTCAAGCCTTCGGTGGCTGTGAGTGTGCCGCTGCACTCTAGCCTGGGCAATTCCTTTCACTGACAATAGAGAAGGACTGTGCTATCCAAGGTGGTGGATGGCTGGGGAGGGTGATCACACCATCTGCAGAGCTGGGAACGGAAATGGACCTCTGTATCCCATATCAGGGCCCAGTTAAATAACTGATAGTGAGGCAGATTATTCAGTGCCGGTTAGACATAGATATGTTTCTCATAAGCAGTTTACATGAAAATACAGTCAACATTTCAGATGCCATTCTTATCAGTACACAATCATCACTTAACCCACCAGATAGACCAGGCCTGACCACCTTGCATACTAGAATGTGGATCTACCAGTGCAGGAAACCATAGAAACAACAGGGCATTCCCAAAACACAGACATGTTCTCAGAAAAGGTCAAAGCTAGTTAGGCAGTATCTTATTTATTTATTTATTTATTTTTTGAGTTGGAGTCTCACTCTGTCGCCCAGGCTGGAGTGCAGCGGCCGCTCCTGGCCACCGC